GCGTTGTATCGTGAATATCGCTAGATAGGAGCCATAAAGGGGCGGCTTAGTCCACTTTTCCTACCTCCTTACTACAAACTCCAACCTTCGCCCCGAATCACCCCCAAACCGCCCTCGCTGCCTTCTGATGCTCGTGGCAGCATTGCATAAGCAGCCCTTTTGACTCTCAGACCCTTGAGACGTAGTGAGAACCGAGAAACATTTCCTCCCTGTCATGTGTGGGGAAACCACATAATGAAGACCTCCTAAGCAGATCTACAAAAGGACCAAGCGAAAATTACTAGACCTCAGGCACAACACCAAAATCACTCTAAACCCCAAAACCCAAAACCCTAAGCACAAACCCTAAACCCTAAACCCAGAAACCCTGAACCCGAAACCCCTAAAGCCCTAAACCCTAAACTCCTAAACTCCTAACCTCCTAAACCCTAAACTCCTAAACTCCTAAACCCTAAAGCCCTAACCCCCCCTGAACACCCTGAACCCCGAGAAATCAGAGAAAAGAAACCCAGAAGAAAACCCACGGGAGAGCCTGCTCCCGCTGGATAGCAGCCTCGGCTGCTGCCTGGACTCTCTCAGCTGGAAATGAGGCTTTTGGGACTTTAGGGGTTTAGGGCTTTCGGGTTTCGGGTTTAGGGTTTTGGGTTTAGGGTTGAGGTTTCGGGTTGAGGGTTTTGGGTTTAGGGTTGAGGTTTAGGGTTGAGGGTTTGGGGTTTAGCATTTAGGGTTTAGGGTTTTGGGTTCAGGGAAGGATCGATCCGGCATCCGAGCCTCTACTTGGTTCATGGGTAGCTATAAGTGGGGTTCTAAGTCCCCTAATTTGGGTTATAGGTCCCCTAATTGGGGTTATAAGTCCCTTAATTTGGGTTATAACTATAGTTACCCTACTTATAACCCCACTTCTCACTATCCGTGAACCTCCAAGTAGGGCTCTCGGCAACGCAGGATCTGATCCCCGTATAGCGAGGCTTCACAGGGCTCCGAGGTGTAGGGTTTCGGGTTTAGGGTTTGGAGGTTTGAGGGTTTGAGGGTTCAGGGTTTAGGGCTGAGGGTTCAGGGTTTCAGGTTCAGGATTTAGGGTTGAGGGCTCAGGGTTTTCGATTTAGACCTTCAGGATTCTGTCTTGGTAGGGTGTGGCGTGAGGGAGTTCGGGGTTAAGAGAATTGAGTGGTTTAGGGTTTAGGGTTTAGGTTCAGGTTTGGGTTGAGGACTGAGAGTTTGAGACATTGAGTCCCACCCCTCCCTTAGTAGGATTACCATACGGATGCCGATATGACAGGCCTTTGAAAGCAATGAGAGGTCTACATTACTACCATAATTACTGCTGTGTTACATTCGTCTGTTTAAGGTTTGTTTTGTCGTTGCTGCCATTACTGTTGTCACTGTCTTTCTTAATGCACATGCCAGCCCAATTATGTTTAGTATTTTTGTAGTGTGTGTAGCCTCACATGCTCTATCTTTAGTAAGTCATTAATATGAATATGATTGTGGATATTGCTATTGCTATTGCTATTCTTCTCATAAATGATTGTTGTGATTTTTACCAGAACTATGGTCTTTCTTAGATGTATTACCACTGTTAGCAGCAGTAGTAGTCGTAGTCGTAGTCGTAGTAGTAGAAGTAGTAGTCGTCGTAGAAGTAGAAGTAGTAGTAGTCGTCGTCGTCGGTGTAGTAGTAGTAGGAGCGGCAGCAGTAGCAGCAGCAGTAGCAGCAGTAGCGCAGTAGTAGCAGGAAATAGCAGCACCAGTGGGACGAGTTTAGTAGTGTAATACTGGTCATTGCGATGTGTATATTCACGCGGCTGGTCATGTTGCAACTATACCAGAAGAGGAATATTGGCAACGGTGCTTGTCTTGGTCGTCGTTGTTGTGCCGGTATTCGGTGAGACCGACTACTGTATGCTATTGCCACCGCTAATCCTACTGCTACTGCCAGCACTATCGCTACCACTAGCGCTACGTACCATTGCTAGGATTGGCAATACTCGACGATGACGACGACAACGACGAGTACTACTATTGCTACCATCTGCGACCCACTCCCGCTGCTGTTGGTGCTGCTACTGCGGCTGAAGCCTCGGCTGCTAGAACCAAACTCACTCTTGCATCCCCACACGCTTCCAACTTCTTTCTTGACAAGGCCAATGCATGCAGCATGAGAAGCGAACGGCGTGCTGCCTGTGATCCCTGTGTACTCTGGCGCAGCACCCGTGATCAGCCGTGACGTAACCTTCCCTTGGCATGCAGCCCCCGGAACACCAAGAATACTCGTCGACGAGTTCGATGTACGACGTCAGCAAGGGCTACCGAATGCAGCTTAGCCACGTCGTAGGATCAAAGGCGCGTGGGGCGGCAGCGTGGCAGTCTGAGACGAGGCAATAAACATGGACATGATCGACATACACGACTTGTAGCAATATGTAGCAATAACAAAGCAACAGCTAACTGGAGCAAGAGAAGCAGCAATCAGTCTCAGTATATGATGGAAGTACGATTCAGCTCTCCATGGGATTCACCATCACATCGCTCTGCCCATGTCCCCTCCTGGCCTCAGGGGTACTTGGTGAGTGCGCGCGTGACAAGAGCGGGTGATGTTGTGTCCGTTCCTGCACAGCCGAGCTGCCAACTCCGAGCCACAAGGGTTTGAGGCTGAGGGTATGCACAACTCATCCTAAACCCGAAACTCCCTAACCATAAGCCCTATAAACCCTATAAGCCCTATAAGCCCTATAAACCCTATAAGCCCGAAAATGAACATCAAAACATGAACATCACTGAATGGCAGAAGTTATGTTAACCCCCAAGTGGCGGCCGCTCCTCCACGGCCGCCTGCACAAAGTTGTGAAACTCGCGGAAGCCCACGCGGCCCACCTTTGGTTGCTGCGCGGCGGTTTTTTGTCCGTTTCTACAGGGCCACCAGGATGTCCTGGTTTAGGGGTTTAGGGGTTTAGAGTCTTCTTCGCTTTGCGGCATTGTCCCATACTTGAACAGCTTGACAGGCGAAGTGTGTCGGCCAACCTGGCTTAGTGTTGAACCATGTTGAACCTCACTGCTGTTAAGTTGCAGGTGCTCGAGTTGGAGAGGCAACCTTACTGTAAAGTACCCATGAACCTTCAACAGAGGACGGTTCGTGCCGAAAGTTGTGTTCCAGGAAGCATATGCACCGAAATCGCTGGAAATGCCGCGTCAGCTCTCCCGCCTAAGACTGTGCCTTGTCGACCTGTACAAGGGTTTATTGTGGGTATGGACGTTTTGCTTCCTGATGCAGCCACTTTGCAATGCTAAACTTTGCTTGCTAAACCGGCTTGGGTGAAGCCACTGCAATTTGAAATGATCTCCATACGAGTCCTGTGCTGTGATATGGGCGGTGATCAACCCCTGAATGCTCCGTCAACCTCTGCCGCAGGCATCCGACAAAATGGACCCTCACAGCTTCTTGAATTGCGAAGGCATTGGACCCAAGCCAGGGATCAACTCTCGATTGAACGCCGGAGCCAAGGCTCCTAACAGCAAAACTCGGGGCTAGAAGCTGTAAGCCCTAGAGGTTTTGGCCTGAGTCGAAGTTTACCGATAAACCCTAAACTCTAGTGACCGCAGCCCTGTCCCAACCTTCGCTTCATCCATAAGGTCGAAGAACCGGACCACCTGGCACAACGAATCGCTTTTTGCGAAGGTATGTGGAGGCACCAGTTAGTATTAAAGTCTTCGTGGAGTGTGCGCGCACGTGTACATATGCATGATTTCGGGAGTCGTGCTGTTGAGTGCTCCGGTTCCTTCTACTTTCTCGGCTCTTGGGGTACTGAACCTGCCTGGTTTTGGGTTTAGGGTTTTAGGGTTTAGGACGTTCGGGGGTCTGGGGTTTCGGGCTGTAGAGGGTTCGCACCATCACTGAGATTTGAAGACACCATATCCCCAATTCGAGGAACATCATACGCCTCAGGATTTTCATCGCACTCATACAGCATGGTGTAGATAGATTTTAATACAGGTAGATAGACAGATGGATAGATAGATCCGGTCCGGATGCCGGTCGTTCCGACAACTCTGTAGGTCGGAATCTCAATCTGAAGCCCTTCCGGCTGAACACTATCCCTACATACAAACATCTTCGCCGGAGGCCGTAAGCACCTCTGAAGCTGCAGATTCACATTATCTGTATACATATATGTACGCAAAATCTGCAGACCTACATGTAAATACATATCCGTATGTTAGATAGATCGATAGATAGATAGACAGATAGATATAGATAGGCTTAAATACATAGATAGATAGATAAACAGATAGATAGATGGATAGATAGACAGGTGCATAGATAGAGAGAGAGAGAGATATATATATAGATATATATATATATACAGACAGATAGATAGAGAGAGTGAGAGGGAGACATAGATAGATAGAAAGACAGATAGATAGGTAGATAGAAGGATAGATAGATAGGCACGTAGATAGATAGATAGATGGATAGATAGATAGATAGAAGGATAAACAGATCGACAGATCGGCAGATCGATAGATCGATTGATAGATAGATCGAAAAATAGATAGACAGATAGATGGCTGGACCGATAGATAGATAGATAGGTAGGTAGGTAGGTAGATAGATAGAGCTAGACAGGTAGATAGGTCGATAGATAGATAGACAGATGGATAGACAAACAGATAGATAGATAGATAGATAGATAGGCAGCTCTATCTGTCTATGTATCTATCTATCTATCTGTCTGCTTATCTGTTTATATATATATATACATACAGGGCGAAAGAGTGTGTGAGAGCGAGAGAGCGAGAGAGACAGAGAGATAGAGAGGGAGATAGACAACAACACCCACACATCGCTATCTATCTATCTATCTATCTATTTATCTATCTATCTATCTATCTATCTACCTATCTATCTATCTATCTATCTATAAATAAATAAATAAATACATAAATAAATATATATATATATATATGTATACACACATTATACTGTATTATACTATTTTACTATATTACATAATATGCAGAGCAGTAAATCCGAACGTCAACAAGAATTCCGCTCGGACAGCCTGGTCGGCGGAGATCCCTCGTAGCCCGAGGTGATACAGCGCAGCCCAAGTCTCCACCATGTCCTCCACAGACGTTTGGGGCTCCCTTTGGGGTTCAGGCTTTAAGGGTTTAGGGTTTTAGGGTTTAGGGTTTTAGGGTTTGGAGTTCTAGGGTTTAGGGTTCTAGGGTTTAGGGTTTATAGGGTCTTGGGTTTGAAATTTGTTTTAAGCGAATATTGATTTCCACAATACAAACCCCAGAATCCTCGCTCTAGAAGCCTAGGGCAGCCACTGGGGGCCCGACTAGCGAGCCGTTCTTGTCCGTGTCGAAGATGTCCTTGGTCCATTATTTAGGGTTTACGGTTTAGGGCCAAACAGAAATCCAAAACCCTAAAGTTTAGGGTTTAGGGTTTCTGCTTGATCTGTTGGGCCGTTTAGGGTCGTTTTAATCATTTTAAGAGGAACCGATTGAGTCAAATACTTGCCCTAGTTGAGAACCATGCCCCCCATGCACAAACACAACATGATCGAACCCAACATCAGACACGATGAGGCAGGTTGGGGCAAAGTAAAGTGAATCAGATGAATGAACAAGTACGACTAAAACTCCTTATAGCATGGGCAAACCCAAAAGATTGCAATATAGCGGCCATTATACAACATTTATCATAATAAGGAACCCCCAACACAAAATTAGCAATGATTTAAGGCCCCTAAGATCCTAAACCCTAAACCCTAAGCCCTAAACCCTAAACTCTAAGCCCTAAACCCCAAACCCTAAACTCTAGTCTGCGGCGCGGCTGGAGAGGCCATCCCGGCGGCTGCCCTCCAGCTCTGGGGCCCCGGCAAAGGCCGCACGAATGCTCAAATTCTTGCCTGAAGCACTGGGTCTTTAGGGTTTAGGGCTTAGGGCTTATAGAGTTTAGGGCGTCGGGTTTAGGGCTTAGGGTGTATACGGTTTAGGGCTTCGGGTTTAGGGCTTAGGGTTTAGTTAGGGTTAAGGGCTTAGGCTCCAACAGCATCCAGAAAGGACTGGAGCCGAACGTGGGCTCCAAGCAGCGTGAGCATCCTCCCATTCTTTGTAAGCCCGGGGCCGCTCAGTGCCTCCCGTAATGTCACACTGAGACTGGCTTCCTGAAGGGACAGCAACATAGGTTGGCACTTTAAAGCCTCTGATAAATATTGGTAAATAAGATCCGTTAAAGCCCAATAAGGGAAAACATGAAACATCCCGAAGGCCTACCTAGAAACAGCGAGACATCAGCAGCGTGGGTAGTTTAACAGCAGCAACGTGGCGCAGGCAAAACTGCTTTTTTGTGCTAAACACCCTAAGCCAATAAAGCACATCCATCAAAGCGATTCAGAACCTAAACCCTGAACCCTTATAAACCCTAAACAATAAACCCTAAACCCTACACAATAAACCCTAAACAATAAACCCTAACCACTAAACCCTAAACCCTAATCCCAGTCCTCCAGGAGGGCCAAGTCTGAATCCAAAGTCAGGACCTGGAGAGTGCATGGCGGGACTGGGCACTACACTGCACCCTGAATGGAGCGCAGGCCGCAGAAACTGCAGAGACAAAAGCACTCTCACGACCGGAGGCCATGGCAAACGATGCTGTGATCTTCCTGTCACCCTGACTTCTGACACATCCTCGTCACAATGCACTACACGTGTGCTTCAGGTTTAGGGTTTACAGTGTAGGGCCCAAGGCTCCGCAAACGACACTGCCAAGTACTGTTTGCACCCGTGAACTTGACACGGAGTCGGCGCACCTCCGCAACCGGCTGCTCCTTGCAAAAGCAAGAGTCCGCTGTTGGGATGGGGGGCGGAACAGACGACTGCTTCTTTTTCATGTCTGCGGACTTGAGACGGCTCCGTGGACAAGGAACCCTGAGACCGAAGCCGAAGCTGTGAACCCGAAAAAAAGAGCAACGATGAACCTCTCAACGCCTTGGCCGTATAGCAAACAGAAGAAAAATCGCACCTGCCAGCGTCCAAAACGCCTTCGGCAGCTCTGCGCTGCCTGCGAAGCGAGTGCTTTCTGGGAGTTTCCGAATAATTAGGGTACCTTATTTTGAGGTCCTTCTAATAAGGATCCTACTATTTAGGGTACTATACTGGGGTCCCCTATTTTCGGAAACCCCCTTCTTTGTTCAAGGACACTGCCATTCCTTCGACAAGGCCCTTGGCTTGGCTTCAAAGGCCAAGACTTCAGGGCTTACTGCAGGCCTAGGTGCTTGCGCTTGGGGTCCAGCGCTGAAGTTCCGGGGGCGTTTGGCTGCTCTCAGCTATAATGAAGAAAGAAACACAATAATGAGACCCCCGACAGCCTATTGCCATGTCGGAACTCCTTTTTGACCTCTGCAGCTGGGCCGACTTGCCCGACCCCGAAGAGGTCGTCCTTGGGGCCACGAGACCGTCAGGGCAACAAATGCTAAGCAGTTATATGATTCCGACACTATGTTTCTCTCGTTCTGGCACTTACTTGCTGCTTGCCTTCTCGCTTGCACTGACCCCATGAATCCGGGTGAGTATCTAGTGCAGATGCAGTTTCGCCGAGGCACGTGCTTTCGGATGCTGCGGTGCAAGTCCCACCCTGCTGGGAGGTACTGGGGCTTCACGCTGTCCAGGAAAGTCTGCCGCCAGTCCAAGACAAACTGGAAGCACCTCCATGGCAAGGAGGGTTTTAGGCCGGGGCGTTTCGGAAAATACCGTATCCCAAATGCATGAATCCGAATCAGCAGCACCCTTCTGAGACGGACCCCAATCAAGGCCTCCAGCTTGCAGAAACCACGCTTTTGGCATAGCAGTTGAGACGGAGAAATGGTGACTGCCGCTTTATGCCAACCTGCCTTGCTTCCGAAGATTCCGCATCCTCCGTGCATGCCTGGGAGACAGGGATCCACTCTTACAGCTCCTGTGCTTGTGCTCCTGCCGAAGCCTCTCTAATTACTGAACTCTGGAATCTTTTGGATCTAGTTCTAGTCAAGCAATGACTTCTAAGAATAGGAGAAGAGCCACACCCCTAAACCCTAAACCGCGACCCCTAGACCGTAAATCTACTATTGCCTCCAGCCCTTGTCCGACATGACTGGCTGGGATCCACCGAGGGATACCTAGTTACGTTGCCAACTGCCAACTTGTGTTCGATCCCAGTTACCAGTTTTGTTTGCACCGTTATAAGGCACCCCTCAGACTCTGACAGCAGTATCAAACTTCTGAGCATAGCAATGTAGAAGCTGAAGTTCTGAGTTTGGAGATCTGGCAACTTGTGCGAACTCAGGCTCAGGCACAGAAACATAGTCTAGGCACCGCGCTAAATCCCAGAAGCCAACTCTAAAACTAGAACATGCTTCTCAGCACTCATGTATAACCGATGCTACATGTGCCCGATACCCGCATCGCTACTAGAACTAGCCCTCCAGAGGCATAAACACCGTTATTTGGCAAGTTTCTCAGGCTTGAACTATGCAATGGAAGCGAGACTACAGGAAGCCATGTTCCCTAAACCCTAAACCGATGTTCGGACCATTCCAAAAACCGGAATCTCAAAGCCCATCGGCCCTAAACACGCGGCAACCCAAACCCCGAACCTCAGGACCAAGTCCCTAAACTCTACAGGTCGTGAACCCTTACTCCTCAAACCATTGAATTCCTTTACCATAAACTCATAAACCCTTGAACCCTATTCAAACGATGGGGGTGGGGGGGGGGGGGGGGNNTTGAAGACACGAGGCAGGGGACAGGCACACTAAATCATCAACACCCTTACTCCGAAACGCCTCCGTGATCCGAAGGTGCTTCGCGCAGGCCACCTCCGGCGAAACGTAGCCTTCGACTGCTTCCTGCAGACTTGGGGGGGGGGGTCCTTTTGGGCTTATGTTTTATTTTTAAGGGTTGGTTTAGGGATTCGGGAAAGGCTGAATTACGAGTTTCTTTAGACTTCCTCGGGAAATGCTGAATGACGAGGCTCTTGAGACTTCGTCTCTAAGGTGTGGGTCGCTTTGCTTTTGTGTGTAGTGTAGGACTCCGATCTTGCATCAACAACTGCGCTTTCCTTACCGGGCCTGTGTTTGGTAGGTTTCGGAATTTAGGGCTTATGGACTTCAAGTCTGATACATCGGATACTTGCTGGATCTCCAATGAAGCCTGCGCGTTGGGTCGATCACACCCCAACGCCATTTCCTCAACCCAAACCCTCGGGTAGAGGAACAAAGCTGCAGCTCCCAACCCTACAAGCGAAGCCCATCTTCGACCCTGAAAGCCTGAGAGCACTCTGGCCCTGAGCCCGAACAGCAAGGCCCACAATGTGATTTCGGGTACACGAAGCATGGTTGCGACGCAGCTGCAACAAGTGCACGCTGTGCGAAACAGTCAAAGTTCAGATCCTGCACATACTAGTTCGTGACGGAATACAGCACTACGACATGGGACATGTATTTTTCCTCCCGCCGTCTACTCTTAAGCACAGCAAGGCTACTCCATGTCCATCGTTTCCGATTTCCGGTGCAGACAAGATGCATAGACGAGACATGCAGAGGCAGAGGATTCGTTGCCAACTTGCAGTACTATCCATCAACATGAAGTGCAACTACCCGTAACTACCCATCCTGATCCCCCCAAGATTCTCTGGCCACTCAGCGCCCACCCCTGAGCGGCCTTCACATCAAGCACCCTGACTTGCTCGACTTCTTCCTTCGTCAAGGCTGCACCTGAAATCTTGAAGCAACATGAACCCGGTATCGAGAGGTGGCAGGCATGACAAATGCAGTCCCAAGCAGGAGTGTCCATGTTCAGGTAAGTTGGTCTGTGAAGCTCCCTTGCTAGGAGCAGAAATCCATCAAGCAGCGGCTAATGGAATACTCCGGGCTTCTTCGGCTCCCATCTCGGAACTGATGCCTTTTTGTATCTTTTTTGTTAGTCAGTTATGCCCATAATCGGTTTTGAGTTCGACATGCCATCGATGTCCCTGAGGATGTGGCATTCAGAACTGTCCCTGGGCTTGGGATGCTTGGATCTGATATTATCCCAAACTCCCATGCAAGAGGGCTGCAGCAGTCATTCCGGGTCCAAGTAAGAAATCGCAATCAAGCGATGCGCAATGAAGCACCTTACGATCCCATTCTCAATTCATGGAGCACTGTGGAGCCGAGCTTCGCTGGCTTCGTGAAAACACATCCCCGGCCTGGCAGTTTGCCGAGGAAGTCTCGGAGGATGGCCTCCTTCTCCTCCCGCACCTTCGTAGGCCACGACATTCAAGGACAGTTTCAAATATGAACCATAAAAAGGAACTACCTAGGGGCCTATGGGTAAACCCTATCAACCTACAACCCTTGCAGGGCTTGGGTTATAATATTTCGAACTTCAAAGCAGATGGTGACTCCGATCTGAGGGCCTCTACCACCCACACCTTGATTCGTGTGCTTGCGGAGTTAACACGAACAGGGCTTGCATGTCTCCGAGTCTACCTATCTACCTCTCTGCTTCCATGTGTAAGTACAATGCTACTGCTACTGCTACGACAGCTACTACTACTGCTACTGCTGCTACTACTGCTACTACTGCTACTACGGCTAAGGCTGCTGCTAATACCACTTCGACGACGACAACGACTACTACTACGACGAGCCTGCTTTTATCACCCTCACCACCACCACCACGATCACGACCGCGACGACGACTACCAAGATTACTACGACGACGACGACTACCAAGACTACGAAGACGACGACGAAGACTAGTACGATTGCGACTACGGCGACGACAACGCACTGTTGCTCGCGATTACGTTACGAACCAGAGCCATCCGACCGCCTTGACAAGAATCGAGTGTCGCCATCAGACATAGTCTAATTGCTCGTTTCGGAGAACTCAGGCATGAATCAAGAATGATACTGTTCGGATGACGGCTCGATGACGACTGTAGCTGACAACTTGTTGGATGCAGGGTATCGTAAGTTCTGCAGTACTCAGTAATCACTGCAATTCGAGCAATTTCATATTTATATGCCTCGTTCGGCAACGCGTGGCGCAAAGCAGCGGCGGCCCCGCGCGCACGCAGCTTGCACTCGTCCACCCTTCGTGCGAGAGGGTCGGTGTTGGTATAGAGATACCCAGAGTGTCGGATATCCATAAGTTTCTGCCTTCTACAGCCAGCTATGGCTGACTAAAGCATGTGGGGTCTGAGCGTGTACCTGAATGGCTCGCAACATGAGCTTAACGTTGCCTTGTGGAATCTACCGTTAGCTTCACTTATGATGTGAATCCGGAGTCTATAGCACTTTCCCTGGCTACAAAGATCGTGGAAACATTGAACCTTGAAAAACCCAGCCAATGAAGCACGAATCTACCCCCGCCCCTTTGACACTGACAAGAGAATCTCGGAAAGTCTGAGCTTGTCAAAAGGAAGTTCGGGGGACGCAAATCAAAAGACGTGCCGGGCGGGGAGCCTGAGCCAATTCCCGAAAAACACAGCTGAAAGCCGGAGCAGTGAGGGACTCTAGGCGTTCACCCCAATCACCCTAAGACCCTTAACCCCCTCGAAGACCCCAACCAATGATTCCGAAACACTAAGTCGCAGATGAATATTACTACCCCATATAATGCTAGATTCTAAGTCCAGTATATCCCGAAGACGTACGATGTTGTTCGCGCCTGAAGCGTCCTTTGGCCCCGGGTGCCGAGGCGTCGCGCTGCCCAGCATCTGCCAGCAAACGCTGGCGGCGGTTCTGAGGAGCTTTACAGGCATGGAAGCTTCAGGGCTAGAGCTCTCATATAGGCGTTAAGGCTTCAGCTGGGGTTTTAAAGCTTGTTGTTTAGGGCTTTTGAGTTTTCTTGGGATTTAGAATTTGGTATCAACAACAGCAGCAGCACAAGCGGCAACAGCAACGGCAACTGCAATACAACAGCAGCACCAGCACGCCAGAACCCACGCCAGCGCCAGCGCTAGCACCAGCGCTAGCACCAGCAACAACAACGACGACAACAGCGACAACAGCAACAGCAACAGCATCGGCATCCGCAACAGCAACAGCAACAACAGCAACAGCAGCACCAACAACAGCAGCAGCAGCAGCATCACCACCACCACCACCACCAACAACAACAACAACAACCACAACAACCACAACAACCACAATAACCACAACAACCACAACAACCACAACAACCACAACAACAACAACAACCACAACAACCACAACAACCACAACAACAGCAGCAGCAGCAACAACAACAACAACAGCAACAACAACCAATACCACAACAACCACAACCAACTAAAACCAATCAACAAACAACACCGCACCGCAACCAATAGCCAACAACCAACCACCAGCCAACAACCAACAGTCATCTCATTCGGACGCTTGAGCGGTAGGGCCGCTCCTTGGCGGGCATTAGAGAGTGAAACAGAGACTGCATACGGAGGGATGGACTGATGGCATGTCCATTCTTGCTGCAGCTGTTTTGCACTCGTGAATATGCTACAAGTGTAGCAAACCCTGAGAGACCTCATGAAGCTGTGTTCTAAGTTATCAAAGTCCCCTACATTACTCAACCATCTCCTTAATTGGGGATTTCCGAAAACAGGGGACCCGAATATAGTACCCTAAATAGTAGGATCCTTATTTTAAGGACCCCAAAATAAGGTACCCTAATTTTCGGAAAGTCCCAATTACTACAGATCTTGTACCCGGGCGAACCCAGCCGTCTCTCCTGGGATGCGGTCGAGGCTGGAATGTAACAGCCTCATGGGCTTAGGATCAGGTTGGGGGTCTCGCTTTTGAGGGTTGTAGGTTTGGGGGGTTCCAAAGTTTAGGATTCAGGGTTCCTAGTTTACGGTTGGGCGTGTTTGCTTCGACTAAAGGTCTTAAGGCCGCTGGCTCCCCGAGCGTCCCCAACACGCACGGAAACCGCTTGCAGGCCCTGCAACACCGGAACCCCGCAAGCCCAAGTCGCGGGACCTCTACGTGAAGATTTTACTCGGGAAGATCAGTTCACTGACTGTTTTAGTCATTTACTAAGCACGGAGCCTTCATCTTTGTCTACGATTGACGCCGAAAACCGACCTCTGATCAGTACAATAGCAGAAGTCCACAACACCATTGCAGCATAAAAGACTGCTTAATGGTCATCATTTGCTACGTGTGACAGGTTTAGAGTGACTCTACACAAAAGACAACACCGAGTTCGACCAACGACGGAATGGACATGACTTATTGTACCTCATGAGCAGACTTCAGATGAACTAAACTCAGCACAAGCATGTAAAAGTTTGTTGGTATAGGGGCAAGCAATCAATAACCAACCTGTTGAACACAAAATTTATCAAACAGCCACATGTTGAAACATTTTTCAACAATATCCATCCTCCAGCTTCATGTACTACCGGACTAGCCCATCGTTGTATTAAAGCACACATGTGAATATGCAGGGACTGAGACTTGGTAGTTGGCCCACGGGAGTGATTAACCAAGAAAGATGTACTTGGGAACAACAAGAAACTGATGAGGTACAGAGTGTTCACTGGGTTTGTAATACTGAAGGAAGCGGAAAAGCAACTCTAATCACAGTCGTGTGGATATTGGAAATGGAAACTATAATATTGAGGAATGAAAGACTAACAATACACTGACTACACTTGATACGATAATTCGTGCATAGCAGAATGTATTCGTAATTTAGGTAGGTATGACTGAACATGGAATTGGAGATTGGATAAGGTTGCAGGTGTATGACGATTACAATTCCAGTACACGTATGGATACATACAATAAAAATAGTGGGCCACGAACTGCTTCGAATAGCTGCCATTGCCGAAAACTACTGTTCTTCTGCTTCATACACGTAAAACTTTGATGTAACGGTTTCCAGATCACAGCTATAGCGCATTTGTCTGGCAATACGGCTTGGTGTTGCATGTACGATTGTATGAAGCGGTGAACCAGTGGATCAATGTCAACTCATTGAGAGAGAAAGGATTGCAACACAGATGGAACGTTGTAGGTGTATGATGACTATAGATCCATCACGCGTACCGATAACTGCAATTACAAAAGTGAGTAACGGTTTTAAGATTACAGCTATACGGGCACTTATCTGGCAATACAACCTGTTGTCCCATGTACAACTGTATGAAGTAGTGAATCAATGGACCAATGTTAAGTTAATGATGAAAGACTGCAAAACAAATGGAACAAAATTGGAAATTATGGAACCAAAAAACACAACAACAAACACCCAAAAACACAAAACAGATGCGGTATTCTCTCTGGATCTTTGTTTTCTTTTTTGGTCTCAGGCTGGGGGCTTGAAGCCACACGAACACAGACCAACAAAGACACACAAATATCAATGCAGTTCCAGCATTCTCCGCGGATCTTTGTTGTTTTTGTGGCTTTTTGTTCTCGGTTGAGTGGTTTCAGCCAGCCGAAAGCAGGGCTTGAATCCCGAACCCACGAAAAGGCCGGAATCGCCGGTGGGAGCGGGGCTCTAAAAGGTGATGGTCAGTCAGGGATGGGGGTGACCATATATATATATATACACATACACATATGTATATATACATATATATACACATATATATATATATGTATATGTATAACATGTATATGTATACGTATATGTATATGCTTATGTATATGTATATGCACACACACACATATATATATATACTAATGTATGTACACACATCTGCATACAAGTATAGACAGACAGACAGACAGACAGACAGACAGACAGATAGATCGGTAGACAGATATGTAGATGGGTAGACCACGCCTATCTTAAGTCGCTGTCAGCTCTCGGCATCCTAAGCGTCGGACTGTGGCAAAGCAGGACGATGTCATGACTCGAGTGCTCCTGACAGGATGTTCTTAGACATGTAGCGATTGAAAACAGGAGTCTGCATGGACTCCCAAAGGGTTTGATGGAAAGAGGTTCTAGACGGGTTATATATGGCGTTGGGTTAAAACCTGTCCTAAACTCTAACCAGCTAAAACACAAGTGGCTAAAACCTAGAAGCCAATTCCCAACATGGATCCCAGCAGAAGGGAAGCCTTGAAGCGCCGTGGAAGCAACGCGCGGAAAACGTGAGGCACGATGGAGAAGCGAACCAGGTGGTCCTGCAGACGCACGAATAAAGCAACAACAATGACGCACGGATAATTAATTCACACGACAACAACAGTCGCAACTAAACATAGTAGTCACAGTAGTAGTAGGATTGTTGGTACTGTTGATGCCCAAAATTCTGCATGACCTACAACATCGCACATATTCCATGTCGCGCTGTCCATTTCGCCACAACCCCTGAATTTCAATGTTATATCGCTATATGTGGTCATGCAACATTTAGGGCATTCGCGCAGGCCCTTTTGCCAGCCCCTGCATGAGAGCAATATTAGAATTAGGGGTAGCAGCGGTATCGTGGGGATGTTTAAGAATCATGCAGGATTTCGGGCATCAGCCGCAGCAGTAGTAGTAGCAGCAGCAGGAGTAGCAGTAGCAGCAGCAGTAGCAGTAGCAGTAGCAGGAGTAGGAGCAAGACCAGGAGTCGGAGAAGAAGCAGGAGAAGAATTAGGAGTGGGAGTGCGGGTCGGAATAGGAGTATAGTCGTCGTCGTCGTAGTAGTAGTAGGAGTAGCCGCAGTGCAAGTGATACAGTAATAAGTCGCTAGGAAGGTGGCTAGGTCCATGGGCAGGCATGATGTGGGTAGGAACGCGGGCAGGCAGACAGGTGGGCAGGCAGGTTGGCAGGTCGGTCAGTTTACACATGCATACATACTTACTTACGTACATACTTACGTACATACATACATACATACATACATACATACACACATACAAACAAACAAACATACATGATTACAAACAAACAAACATACATACATGCATCCGTACACACATACATACATACATACATACATACATACATACATACATCCATGCATGCATGCGCACGTACATACATACATACATACATGCATGCGTACGTACCTACCTACCTACCTACCTAGCTACCTACCTACGTGCATACATGCATACATGCATACGTAGATACATACAGTACACTACCAACAACCGTATCCAGACGTCTACTTGCCTTCGTATGTGCATGCAACTAACAACTAACAACCGATCTATACTGACTACGAAACACTGGCAATAGTTCCCTCAATTATTAATAGTATATAGCAAATTCATATATTCATGGTATATAGTATGTGGCAATAGCAGCACTCTAAAGCCCACAATTCCTTGGCTCCGCAGCCAACGCACCTGACACGGCTCGGCTTTCTTGGCGTAATGTGGGGGCTTGTATATTCAGAACAGGTTCTGTCAGAGGGGTTTTGGGGAGAATCCTTGCCGATGCCAAGGTATTGCCTATCGAAATGACCTGCAGACATGATTCCTTCTTCCAGACTGTCTTCCATCAATCCAACGCGGTCAATCACATATGACTGCAGAAGATCACCAACACCAGGAAACCAGCCGAAGCTGAATTCATGAAAAAACTGACGGAACGTATGCTCAACGACTTCCTGCACTGCTTCACTGTGTTTCAGTGCTTAAACCTGTAGATCCAAACTTATCCAAAGCGATCTTCAAGACAAAGGGCTGGTTCTCCATGACCTGCAGGTAGAAGGCATCCCCCGCATGGCCGACGCCCTTCGGCTCGAAGTTCAGTTTCACCGTGCTCAGCACCTCCGCACGACGGCACCCCCGAAACTCTACCGAAGTGGTGGTTGGAATCCTCGTGCTTTCGGACTTCTGCCGGCACTTTTTTAGGCTTTGGAGCTTGCATCTCCAAACTAGAAAATCCTTCCCTGACGCAACGACATCATCTTCCCCCCACCGGCCCCCTAAACCCACCACAGCCTCCGAAGAAGCGCCTTCCACGTTGTGCGCAAGGCCCATTTTGACGTACCACGCCTTGGATGCAGGGGCCCTAACTAAACCCTAAACCCTAGACCGTGGTTTAGGGTTTAGGGTTTGAGGGCATGATCCGTGCCAAGACCCAAAGCAAGTAGGACAGAAACACAACTTCAGGCGAAGGACAGCTTTGGCATGGGAGACGTTCGCAAGGTGAAGGCCTTTCGGGGAGAGGAGCTTGATCCCACCGTACCTCGGTCACGGATACAAACACGAACTTACCTTATTGTCACGGCTCTGATCGTCTTTCGCTATTTCTCTGTTTCTGCCTGCCTGGTCTGATTCCGAGCTCCGGATAGACGTGCTGGTCAGGGCCCGCGCATGACTGATTCTGCTTTATTCTCAGAAGCTCGCTTTGTCGAAGAGCAAACCGTCGCTGCTTACGAGACTCTGGCAAAATCGCTAGGCATCTGGTGTATCTCCTCGGGCCTCACTGTGTCAGCTGTCAGCGGGCTGAAAATGGCTGAAATAACAGCTGTGAAATGGTGCCCCACAAAGAACACATCATTGAACCCAATAAACTTGCTTCTCAGCTTGCTGTTTCCTCCCACCCACAGGACCGAATCCGGAAACATGCTAAGTCAAGACCCAGGCACAACAAGGTCTGGCGCTTTGGGGCGTGCACGACAGCCTCGTTCACGGCAGACACCCCTTCGCCCGACTGATCCCGTACCTTCTTCACCACAGCCTGCTGACCTGAGTCCTTAAATCCACATCGACCGACTATTTAGCCTTGCTCTGTTTTGGATGTACCGTTCGATCCTGCACCTTGCAAAGACCATGACATCACGAAGCCAGCGAAACAAGCCTTCGGAGGCTTCTTTGGCCCCGTGCGCCGGGGCTGCAAGCCTCCTTGCAGAGGCTTAAGGGTTTGGACATTCGCTCTGAGATGCGCAAACCACGACTTTCCCGTGCCGCAGGGGAGTGTCGGATACAGCCTAGTCATACTTCAAACAACATGTGCCTTGAGTTGTGGCATGACTTGTGACGAGAAGAGCCGCCTTTGGGCAGCTTGTCGATGAGGTCGCTGCACCATTCGCGAATCGTTGTGGGCGGTGCGCAATGTCGAGCATGCATCTCCTGCCCCGTTTATTCAGGAGAAAGACATGGAAGAAAGCGGGCTCTACACCCCTTCGCGGCCCCAACCAAAGTGCGGCCGCGATGTCCGCCGTTTACCTGAAACTTGTAGCAACACAAAACGCGGATACATTTGCGATGTTCCCCACTGCCATCAATGTTGAAAAATGCCGTTTGCCAGCCGAGTGCTTTTGGAGCTTGCTTCTTGAGACATGATAGCGTCGTGGGAGTAGTAGTAGTAGTAGCAGCAGCAGCAGCAGCAGCAGCGGCAGCAGCAGCAGCACTGGAAGACAGCTCGACAAGGTCAAAGCCACCCCCACCCCAAATAGGTGTTTACATATACATATATAGTATATACACATATATACATATCTCTCATCTCTCTCTCTCTATATATATATTTCTATTTATTACATACATACATACATACATACATACATACACATACATACAAACATACGACAGCCAGTCAGGCAGGCAGACAGGCACACAGGCAAACAGGCATGCATGCATGCATGTGTGTATATATATATATATGTACATGTAAAGATTTGTATATATGATTATACAGCTATGCCATAACAATAATGGTAATACTAATATACCCCCCAAAACCAAATCTCCTCCATAATTTCGACAGCCACGAAGGCGTCACATGCAGCGTACTGCACCTGCTCGTCATTGAGAGGTCCTGGCCGCAGCCAACTTAAACTGATCGTGAAGCCGCAATATAGCGACCTGAAAAAGTAGAATAGCAGGGCTTGGGTCAGTATAGCTACATGTGGAACCTGTCGATTCGTAATACTAGCTATTCGACCCCCTATGTTGTGGAGGGACCTCTGAAGGGCGGGAGTGCCTTTTCGCTGGAACTTCCCAGAACGAATATGCAGCCCACTGTTGAGGGTTCATGCTAGGGTCCCTATCCCTATACTTTGCTTTTTACTTGTTTCTGCAACTCCGTGCAAATCCGCCTGATGAAGTCTACGGCACCGCCAGGGTTTCGACGAAGGTAGTTTCTCCTCTTATGTCATGTTGTCCTTGCCGTTCCTGCCGAATGCGGTATCAACATCATCACCCTAAGCACATTCATGGTTCCAGTTGGTCCTCCGTAAGTTGAACCGTCCATCGAACCCATTGATACCATCGCGCTTCTACCACATGCCTGCATGGGAACCCAAAACACCTGGAATGGGATCTCAAAACAGAACCCCCAAAGCCCGAGGTTTTGGGGTTCCCCAAGTCTGTATAGTTGAACCTCAACACCCTGAACACTGAACCACACAAGCGCGAAGGCCCTATAAACCCAGCCCTAGACCCTACACCAAGAAGTCACAACCCTAAAGCCTACATACCAAAACCCTGCAAGCCCTCCATAGATCCTGTAGGTCAAACCCCGAAACCTAAACCCCAGAGCACTAAATCCTATGACTCCGAAGCCCCCAAAAGTGGATCTCCGGCCTGTCCAATCCGATCGCCTCAGCTCGATCCGCTTGTCCAGCTTCTTCCGAAGCATCGCCCAACAAAGAGCGCCCAAGCCGAGGCCTCCATCGCCTGGCTGATGCTGAGGATTATTGTTCTGATTCTCAGCAGCAGTAGCAGTAGTAGTAGCAGTAGCAGTAAGCAGCAGCAGCAGTAGTAGAGGAAAGGAGTCTTTTCGTATTTCGACTCTTTTTGAGCATTCGTGTCGTGATTTTGTGTTTGCCATCGTTGTGCTCTTTTCCCAAAACCCCATCAGGTGGCCTGTTTGGAGGCGCGCAAGCTAGGACCTTGTTCCTCAAGGACACGGCAGTAAGCGGCAAAGAGCAATTCAAGCATTGGTGGTTTAGGGCTTTGGGTCGGCAAGAGTTAAAGCTAACCACGAGGTTTGGGATACTGGGTTCCAGGGACTGGGTGTCGCGCTTGGACTGTAGGGCTCGCAGTCCGCCAAGGGCTGTAGGGGTGGCATCTGCTGCAGGTGGCGCTGGAACCGAGGAGAGGTGGTGCCCAAGTGCCGATCAGTCCGACCAGACCTCCGCACCAACATAGCAATGGGCTTGTGGTCGAGTACATGGGCTTGTCCCTGCAACCCTGAAACATTTGTGGCTAGTGACTGCCATTGCTTTTTGAATTCGCCCAATAAGTCCTGCTGTTGCGCGATCGGCGAGCTCTAGTAAGAACTCCAGTATCAGTTTTTCTCCAGCGGTTTTTTGCTTTGCAAAAACGTGTATCCGTCGCTGAAAGATTCCGTAACCCTAAACCCTAAACCCCTAAACCCTAAACCCTATCCTGCAACGATCTCTGCCAGGCCTTCCTCATGGCGCACGGCCAGCGGCTGGAGATCCACAGCTCCTGTCTCAGGGTCTCGGGATGGCTTAGGGTCAGAGTCTCCAAAGAATAACGGGGGCATGAATATTTGTGTTCTACCCCCTAAGAGCCCTAAAGCCCTAAACCCTAAAACCTAAACCCCCAAGTCCAAAAGCCCTGAAAGCCCTAAACGCCCTAGAAACCCTAAATCCTCTTCAGTCCTCGACTTTGCAGCCCGAACTGCTCGGCCAGGAGCCGCAAGTCCTTTTGCGTGGGTCCCTTCTCAAAAACGAGAATACCCTGGATCCCGAAAGTATGTGGAATAACATCCTAACATTTAGGGTTTAGGGTTTAGGGACCCCAAAAGTATGGTGGCGAGAGTACCTGGGACCCCAAAAGTACGTGGGTAGTTTTCTAAATTAATTAGGCTCCCTTCTAGGGTCCTGATTGTTAGGGTGCCGTGCTGTATTGAGACCTGAAAAAGGGACCCGATTTTAGAGAACCACCCATGGGTGTTGGGCCATTATTTTACCTGCTTTGGGGGGTTTAGGTTTTGCGAAAACCCAACAGTGGATCCTGTCTCAAAACCTTGTAGCTTCAGAGGCTGCCGGAGTCCTGGGCGATACCCACGCCGACCTTGAGGAAATCCTGGCGATCTGAGCATAAGCTCGGAGTTTCATGGATTAGGGGCTTTGGGGGCCTATGGCCTATGGAGCTTTGCAAATATGATCTGGCGAGCCGTAAAGCCCTAAAGCCCTAAACCCTGAAACCCTAGGGAACTGGTACGGGTAAGCTTCGGGGTCAAGACCTTGGCGGACAAAAGGCCTGGGCTTCGGCGGTCGCCTTCTGGCAAGGCCTTGTCTTCCCAAATCGGGATCCTAAACCCTAACCCCTACCCTCAAAGGACTGATATTTTATGGCGCTTGGGCTCGAAGACCCTATTACATAAGGCTCTGGGCCTATTTTGATGCTAAGGGTAATTAACTAGACCCGGCGCTAGTTCTTGGCTACCCGAGTCTTGCTGGCAGCCATCGCGTGCACAGTCCCTCCACGAGCCCCAACATCACTCCCCGGCAATGCAAGCAATCGCCAGAAGACCGAAGCCCAAAAACAACGACTCCGATGGCGAAGATCTCCTTCCTGAAACCCTGAAGTCGAGCGGGCCTCTCGCAGCAGGAGCTCCGCAAGACCTGAGCAAAATGATTGCTGTCAGCGATTGTGGGGGTGGTGCTTATCATGACTCTCACACCTTGCATGCCGAAAGTGAAACATATGATAACATATGACATGTCTCAGATCATCGTTCTCATGACCACAACTGAACACTTGTTAAAGACGCTGTGCCATTCATGACCGGTCTAGCTAAGGACGTAGCCGGCTGGCAAGGTCTGCAGCATTGGCATGCGGATGAGGAGGCACCCTTGCGAGCGGAGCCGACAACCGCAGACTGCTGCACTGACTAAGCTCCCGATCTATGGGACCGAGGGCACTCTCAGCTTGCAGGCAGAGCTACGGTATCATGGCAACTGTCCGGTTTTCATGCCACTGCAGCTATGTGCTTCCTGCAGCTGTTACTCAGGAATTCCGATGGGGTCCAGTTTGCAGGAGATAGGGGCCCACTACAGATCTCAAGCGGGCTTCTCCCTCGGAGTTCAAGTTGGTGAAGGCCCACTTGGCCACCGGGCCCCTCGATCGGCTCGCCAGCTGCAGGAGCCTGCGAACTCAGAGCTCCGTATCTTCCGAGTTCACGAGCACTAAGACCTACATGTAATCATGAAGCATAACATAACCCTATAACCTCTTATACCCTAAACTACCCTACTACCCTAAACCCTATAACCCGGTGACGGCCGCCAGGTCGCGCTACTCTGCCCCGCGCATCGGCCCACTCGGCGTCGAGGCCCAGGAGCCCCGGGGATTTGAGCATCAAGCGCAGCTCCGCCTCGCACCTGAGTAGGGTAAGGGTACAGGGTTTAGGGTTTGGGGTTCAGGTTTGGGGTTTAGAGTTCGGAGTTTAGGGTTTGGGGTATAGACTTTAGGGAAGGGGGGAGGGGAGTGTGCGTTGATATCTTATGCTGCAGTGTTACAGTGTGTGTAGTGCATGTGGGCGGTTGTTTTGGGTTCCCAAACTATTGGGTGCCGTATTAAGAACTGAACAATATAGGGTTCCCCAGAAAGACCATGATTTTTGACAGTCACCCATATCTGCAAAAAATATACTGAATGAAAAGCCTGAGATGTGTGTGCCGCATCCCTGCATCCCCTTGGTTCGCTCCAACTCCCAACTGAGCGCATGGCTCGTCGGGATCCGAAGAAATCAACACACGGGTGCCGTAAGGCAACCGATACTGCACCGTTCGCTGCAATGCACGGCACAGCTCGTCACACTGCATCTGGTTCTCTAACTCTGGCAAATGCTCTCTTCAGTGCTTTCGGTCGCTGTCGCAAGGCTCATCTTGTGGGTGTCTCCCTGAGGCACGCTGAACATGAAAATTCACAACGGCCTGAGCCAAACAGTCTTTCTTTGTGTTTGGCTTCACAACAGTTGGGACACGGACCCGCCCAGCTTTAGCTTGTGCCCCTGAAGCTACTTTTGTCCGCCGTGGTAATCTTGACAGCTCACTGCTTGGTCCTCTACTGGAACACATGGGGTGTCTGCGATGCACAGCACGATTCAGGGACGCTCCAGCCGCAAAGGCTGCAGACAGCGGGCGAGGCACAGGCAGGCGGTGCACATACTCTTCTATGCTGCTCCGGCTCGTTTCGCGACAATCTGTTTATCTTCTTGCACAGTATAGTATAGTGCTTATATATCTATGTACAGTACAATACATACCTGCACACACACACACATGATTCTTTGATGTGCGTGTGAGAGAAACGAAAACATGTTGAGTCAGGCGGTCATGCTCATGTGCACATGGTGCGTATGTAGCTACGCGTGTGTGTGTGTATGCAAGCAAGCATGCATGTATGCATTGTATCGACGGCAACCGATGCGCAAGCAGAGTGGGAAAGATCCCGTAGGCTCTCTGAGAGGCACGACACACTTTGGCAGTTCGGCAGGTCTGCGCCGCTAACGTGGTTTGACTTTCTGCCTTCAATTTCGGCTTCGGCTTGCTGGCTGCACGTGAAAAACCGTCATGCGCGGGATCGACAATGTGTGGGTGGTGGCAAAATCTAGACTTCACTTGGGTTGCAAATTCTTCAGATATGTAATACAATAAGTCGATCTATATCTATCTATCTATCTATCTATCTGTCGATCTATCGATCTATAGATCGATCTATCTATCTATAGATCGATCTATCTATCTATCTATCTATCTATCTATACACACACACATATGCACGCGTATGCATGCTTGCGCAACACCTACAGTACGTCTATACACAACATTAGATGCATTGAACAAGTATTATTGAAAAAACAAGTGAGAGCATTATCATAAAATGATTGAAGAAAGCTCCTGCCTCTGTCATCGCCCCTTGGGCTTACGCACGAATGTAAGCCCCGGTCCCTGCAAACGCATGCGCCCATCTGGACCACTGCCCACTGTAAGTCCCATGCTGTTGCTTAGTCTACGGCCTACGGCCCGGGGCTTCAACTCGAGTTTATGTTGTAGCTGCTGCCAAGAAGTCCACAGAGTCATGTGCCTACGGGATGTCGGACCGAACCACTCAGAACAAAGAGGGCAGAGCTCCTGCATGACATTCCATCCCAAGGATCCCACAAACTGTTTCACATTCCTGACATGAAAAAGCCTGACCATGAAACATGAAACGCTGAATCTTCGAAACCGCCTGTCCGGCCTCGAACCACTTCCTGCGCCTATAGGCGGCATCGCGTGCGAGGCCACGGAGAACCAGCGGGATGCAGTACTCCTTGCACGGGCTTAGGGCATTTAGGGTTGAGAGTGTGGTGGTGGCACGGAGCTCATCCGCAGATCGCGGCACCTGCGTCAGCACGCGAATGGTCCTGTAACTGTAGGACTGCGGAACACTCTCGCCAATCGTGATCTTTCCCGCGACTCGGGATGTCAGGGACTGGGAAGGAATGAGATTTAGAATCCATTATACTATATTATAACTATATTATATTGTATTATATCATATTATTATATATTATATTATTCTATACTACGTTCCCTGGTTTCCTTGGTCCTTCAAGCCGGATCCGGGAGTTTTCAAGTTTCTAGGTTCTAGCTGGCCAAACCCAAGGCTCAAAGGGAAGCCAACTACAAACAAAGAGCCCTGAACCGCGGACTCTTAGCCGTGAACCCTAAGCTCCTCCCCTCAAGTCGAGAGCGGGGCGGTGAGATCCACCCGCGAGTACCCCCGGAACACGATGTTATAATCCTAAAACCCTCCCAAAATCCCCCCGAACCCCAAACTCTCATAAATCCATCAACGCCAATGCCCAATGCCTTTCAAACCCGAGGCCTCGAAGTAGGTCTGACAGTCCAAGAATCGGGCCGTCTGCGCCAGTGCTTAGAGGGACAAGGCGCTATGAGGAGGGGTCATGGCTTAGGGCTTTTTTCAGGGTCCAGGGATTCAGAGGACTCGGGTCAGACATGACAGCTTCAGGGGCCTCTTAGGGGATTAGGAACCCTTGGGTTCAGACCTTCGTGAGCCCAAGGGTTCCTCCGGTTTTTCGGTGGTTC